CATTCAAGAAGCGTACGTCATACTACACTGTTCTCGCTATGCTAATTACTGACGCCTCTGCAGTAGACTTGCCGACAAACCTATCAAGGGCCCCGAAGCTGGCCAAACCTTGGCTGTTCCTCGTAAACTGAAGAAAGCTACTCCAACAGAGAGCAATGGGGTTGGCCAAACTAACGGCAAACATGCTCCTGACGGACAAGGCAGCACCAACCCACCCAAGAAACGTCCAAGAGAGGAGGACGGTCCATCGGCGTTGAAGAAGGCGAAGGGTAAGGCTAAAGACGATGATATGATTATCATCGATGACGACGTTGGTACAGGCGCAATCGAGATTCTTGACGACTGAATGCTCATTGCTTGGATTGACTGAACTACGCTGGGGTCACGTCGCGCTCAAGCCTCCATCAATATTGAGGACGCAGTTGTGTGCGTAGGAGCTTCTGGCTAAGAATAGTGCAGCATCTGCTACCTCCTCAGCCAAGCCTAGACGTCCCATGGGTATGAGAGTAGAAAGCTCGCCATTCTGATCCATGTCTAGGTTTGTATATTAGTAACCATGTACTTTGTAAGGGAGGACAAGCGATTAGGCAGGGAGGTCAGTTATCGGAGGGTAAGAGAAAACAAAATACGGGAAAGGCGGGATCATTACCTTTCGTCATATCGGTCTGGATATACCCAGGCAGGAGGACATTGGCACGGATTCCAAATCTGCCTACTTCCCAGGCCAAAGACCGCGTTAGACCTAGAGAGGGGGTTCAGTTACCTTCCGAGCTCTGAGACAATCGGCTGCATACCGACAACGCCGGCTTTCGACGCGGCATAGACACTTGCACCTCTTCCCCCATGGGTAGCTAGCAGGCTCGATACATTGATAATACAGCCTTGATTGCGATTTGTCACTATTTTTTCTCCAGTGAGGAAGGTCAGCCAGCTTACCGTCTCCCTGCTTCATCATCTTGGGTATCAAGTGTTTACAGCCCCATATGGTACCCATAAGATTAGTTGTGACGACCTCGTGCAGGCTTGGTATATCGGAGCTGAACAAGAAGGAATTCTGCGAGATGCCCGCCGCGTTGACGAGGATATCGCTCCTCTTCTATATTTGCAGCGTCAGCGGCGAGCGCGGGAGAAAGCATCTGATGTTTGCTTGAACTGTTGTGTTAGCAAACTTACCGTTTTGAGGTCGGACATCAATTTCTGCCACCCATTTATCAACCCCACGTCAAAGGCTGACGAGTTATGCTGCTGTGAGTCGTCTTGTCGATCCAGGGACGCAACAGCGTGGGCGAGGCTATCTTGATCCCTGCCGATGAGCGTGCAGGTTGCTCCTTGAGCGGCGAAGAGCTTGGCTATGGCCAGCCCGATGCCTCGGCTGCCCCCTGAAATGATGCAGGTCTTGCCGGCTAAGGACTGCATCGCATCGATAATACTGGAAAGATTCTCTCCTCGCCTCTCCTCTCCTACGATTCACCTATGACTATTGATTTTTGTAGGAGCTAATATAAATTCTTTTGATACCAGCAAGATATTATTTTCACCTACAAGCATCCTCGTTGAGGAGATACATTGGAGTCACGTGCGTGACAATTACATAACCTGTACATACCTACAAAGTCGCGGGCGGGCGGGAGCCAGCCAAGTCCCAATCACAAAGTTTTTAGGGGTGTTGATTGAGTAGACCCCCTGAAGAGCCCCGAAGAAAGATAAGCTTGCGGGGCGCAAAGTCTGACGACATGGGTGTGGGTGGCTGCTGATTTGAAGAAAATACACAGTACAATGTCAATTCTGATTTGCGGTCGGTCGCGATTTAAAGTTGATCCCAACTCTGGGAATCTATCGCATTGAAGAATCAGCCGCCGCCATTGATTTATTGAATGATATTGGAACTTATAGAAGTTAAAAGAGTGTGCTCGGAAAAAGAGTTGCCATGAGAGAAGAATCACAGACGTGCGATCAATGTGGCTTAGAAGGGTTGATCTATCATTTTGAATCCTACACTCATGGTTTCTCCCTCTTCCCAGGTTTAGGTACTTTTATTAATTAATCACATACCTTTTTCTGTTATCCTTCCTACTCCACGCCTCTCACTTCGATCCGGATACGAAACAAACGAATATAACTTAACAATATCGATGCTCGAACTTCCATACCGTCTACCGCCCTTGAATCGACCAATTGAGCCTATCGGGATTGGAACCACGCGCCCGTTCATGCTACCGTGCAAGTTCAAGAGGACTGACCCCCGGATCCGATGAATACTACCTACTCCCACGCCAACGGCGGTGCAGCGGGGTCTGCGAAGGCGAATGGGACCACCGACGAGAAGCCTCCCGTGATCGATGCCGGACTCCGCAGTTTGGATCATTGTATGTTGGCCCCCATTTAGTTCTCGTGAAGCCAGGCCGGGAGGGATAGGTATCAGTTCTGCATGTCGCAAGATCGCAAAACCATACTATTTGAGGCCAAGGTCTGGCACGTGCGGATCTTACACATATAGTAAGGGACTGTATGCTGATTGATGTTCGATCACAGACAAGCGCGCTCTTCCGAAATGGCGATATGATTTGCGACAACGAGCTTTACCCTTGGTTAGATGGGAGACACCGTACCTAGCGTGGCTACAGGCCACCCTGCGCTCGCCGGCGCTCGATAGCTATTTTGCCATCACGGCCAATCTCGGCACGCATACCTTCTTCATGATCGGATTACCTATTCTGTTCTGGTGCGGGAACGCTTCCTTTGGAAAAGGGTAAGATATACACCAGATAATATATGTGGATAGTGACGAGGCCGTCGGTCAGCTAATAAGCCTTCAGACTCGTACATATCCTAGCGAATGGAGTCTTTTTCACCGGGTTCGTAAAGGACTTCTTTTCACTGCCACGACCATTATCACCGCCTCTACACCGAATCACCATGTCGGGCTCCGCTGCGCTCGAGTACGGCTTCCCCTCGACCCACTCCGCGAACGCTGTCTCAGTCGCGGTATACGGGATCCTATGTCTTAGATCGCCAAACAACCCCTTTCAACCCAACACCACGTCCGCGCTCGAGGCGCTGGCCTACTTCTACGCGATTAGCATCGTCTTTGGTCGTCTCTACTGTGGCATGCACGGCTTCGTAGACGTGATCGTCGGCTCCGTCATGGGCGCCGTCATCTCCCTAATCGAGTTTTACTACGGCCCCTCGATCAACACGTATTTGCTAGAAAACAGCTGGACGGGCGTCTGCAGCGTACTCTTGCTGATAATCATCCTGATCAGGGTACACCCGGAGCCGGCAGATGACTGTCCTTGCTTCGACGACAGCGTGGCCTTCGCGGGTGTGGTGATGGGCCTGGAGATCGGGACGTGGCGCTTCGGGCGGTCGTCATGGGCGGAGATCCCGTTCGACCTGAACGCGCTGGGCTGGCCGGCCGTGATTCTGCGTATCCTGTTCGGGGTGCTGGTCATCTTCGCGTGGCGCGAGGTGGCCAAGCCGTCGCTGCTGAGGGGGCTGCCGCACCTGTTCCGGCTCATCGAGGACCGCGGCCTCAGTTTACCCCGCCGCTTCTTCATGCCCGCCTCCGAATACAAGAACATCCCGCTCCGCCTGCGCGTCGACAACGTGATGCCCAATGTCAGCGACCTCCCCGGCCTCTTCACTGCCGTCAGACATCCCGGCCGCGGTAGGTCCGTCAGCGTCGGTCCCCAGAGCGCGGCTGACGCGTACGAGACGCTGGCGTATCGCGATCGCAGGCGGCGAGAGAGCGTCGGCACGGAGAACTCGCCTAGCGCGCAGGATACGCAGGGCGGTGGCGGTGCGCCGGTGTTGTCACGAAGCTCGGCGGTGAGCGGAGTGCAGCAGCACAGCAGGCCGAGCGACTTCGAGAAGCTGATGGGGGAGGGCACGGTGGTGGTCTCGCCGACCGAGACGTCGACGGGCGAGGAGCCGGACCTGTACGTAGGGCAGCAGGACGAACTAGGCGAGAGGGAAGTCTTCTCCAAGCTAGTTAAGCCGCGGGTGCGGTACGACGTCGAGGTCGTTACCAAGCTCGTCGTGTATTGCGGTAAGTCTCGTCCCCGGGAGTTCATTCTATTGCGCGGTTGGACTATAGCCTTAAGAGCTAATGTGGTGGCTTATTGTCGATAACTGATAACTGATGGGAATCATAGGTATCGGCTGGCTGGCCGTCGAAATCATTCCCGTACTCCTCGAGGTCATACCAGGTCTGGGCGCCGGATATCTACGGATTGCGTAACACATAACACATGGAGAGATTCCGTGCGACGTTGCGTAGATTACCGGATACACGTGTAACGCGTGTCTCGGGAGACATCATGCCATCTACTTCATGGCGTTGGTGGCTGACCATGTCCCATCCCCCATCCCGTCCCGTTCCGTCTGTCTTATTCCGAACCCCTTTATTAAAGACGGTACGGTATTGGGATTTTTTTTTTCATATTCGCTTCTTGTATATATTTACTTCTGGTAAAGCTAATAGTAATTTTTACCCTTTTTAAATCGGTGTCTAGAGATCTATTGGCTGCTATTTGTTGGATTGTGTATGTAATATTTGACTATGTTGATGCCAAGGGAGATATTGAGGTGTCATATTGTCCAACAGTGCCTACGATGCTAGAGAGAATGCCAGAGAGATGGCATTTATATGTATGTATAAGATGTTTCTGCTTAGGTATGTACCTAGTCACCTATAGGTATTGCAGTGTCCATGTCTTAACATGTGCTAGAATTTGATGATGCAAACAACTTGAAGCTTCCCAAGCTGCCAAGACCATCCCCGCTAGCTTTACCTAGGACTTAGAGGGGGTTTCAGGGATAAAAGAAAATTTTATACTTCCCTTTATGGTTTAGAAGATCAATATCTAACATTCTCGTAATCCGTACTACGCGGGTAAATGCCGGTTTCTTTGCAAGCGCCGCATTGCGTTTATAAGCCATTGGAAAGACCAGACTTGCATCGGCTCATCTCAGCCTCACAGCGGGTGATTTGAAAAAAAGGTGGTGTAGTATAGTGGATAGTACAACACGTTGTGGTTAGCTAATCATATACTGATACCGTGTAAACCTGGGTTCGATTCCCAGCACCGCCATAGTCGGTTCTTTCTTTTGCACTTCTGCAGAATGAATTGTCTTTTTGCTCTTTTTTGATTCAAACGCAGTGGGGTTTTTTAATCTGAGAAGCATTGGTGGGTGATTTGGTGATGAAGCTTCATTCACAGAGCTACCCTACGCTCAGTACACTCACCCTCACCACCTGTGCAGTGCAGACACCTAACAATGCGGCGTAAATACCTAATGGGGGTCGGTCGTACTGCGCATTTATGTAGGTAGGATTGCTAAAGCCTCAATTTCATTGCTAGAAATGAGATGAAGTAATGTAGGTATCGGCATAATCAATATCTGTACCTCTCGACGATTTAATGTCAATCGCCTTCTCCATTCCCTAAATCAGCTAAATAGTTCAGATCTTCTTCGAGGTCCTCAGTCTTGTAATACGCCCACTGCTGACTCGCGAGTTGGTCAGTCTTGTCCTCGTCATCCACATCTTCAGCATTTTCGTCTGGATCACCGGGGCGTCGAACACCTTGGGTCCACTTGAAGAAGTTATCAGGATCCCAAATCGCTTTGACGCGTCGCAGCTCGTCTCGGTTGCGCCCGAAATATGCCCTTTCATGAAATTTGGTTGCAAAGTCTCGGTCAGGGAGGTTGATGAAGGCGGCTTCTTCATTTAGGGGCAGAGGTATCGGTCCTTTCTTAACCTCTGCTAGGAAAAGCCTCATGTCCCTCTCCATGCACTTGTCGACCCACTCCACAGTAACATATGCGTGGAAAATGGTTTCGCGCCAGAAGAATGCGGTTTCGGTCGGATCCTTCTTGGCCGCTTTGCCGCCGGAAGGGATCCAAGTGACCAGGAAGCTGACCTGTTCGCCCTTAAATCTATCCTGGAATGTCTTCATCAAATCCCGGATATTGGCCGTGATCTTACTATGGCGGCCTTGTTGTCGTTCTTGAAGATGAAGGAGCTGGAGAGCTCGTAGGTCTTGTTGGTGGGATAAGCTCTTTCGGTCACCTTCAACCACTGAGCCACGAGCGTTTCGTACAGGAAGTGTGTCGACTTTTCGGCAAGCACTCTTCGTTTGAGCGGAGAGCTTAGGTCTGGATTCTGGATGCACTTGTCAATCAGTCGGCCATATTCGTCAGACAAAGCTGCCATATTCCTCGATATCCTTAGGGGTAATCAAGCGAGGTAGCTCACATTTTCGCGGGTATGTACATAGTCGGGTCTCCAAACATCCGAGATCATTGCTGCTCACAAGTATACAGGCAGGCTTGACGAGAGGTTCAAAGATTTCCATGATGAGCGAGGATTGGTCAGATAGATAAGTATTACTTCGGCTATTCTCTCTTACTGGTGTCGTTGACGGCTTGATGGTCACTAACTTTTGCTCCTAGCTGGTTGAGACACTGTTCAAACCTTTGACGGCTGCTGGGACCAAGAAGACACAGTAATCACGTTTATCTTATTCCTCTCGCTCGCTTACCATCCTGCTTCTGCTCTCACTGAGAAGACAGAAATGAGTGGTATTGGAATATTGAAAGCCCCCTTTTAAAGAGAAAAAAAAGGAGAAGGAAAAAAATGATGCCAGCTTCATGCTGTACAATAGGGGATCTAGATAAGCTATAAAATCGGATATAAAATTCTCGGTCGCTCCTTGCCATGTCATATCCAATACCAGACGCACATGCACCTACGATCACATCTGGGCATTGTAGGTCAGTGGGTGACATTGCGGTTTGTTCCGAAAGCGGCTGGGTATGACTGACCATTCCGCACCACTTATGCATGACCTTATACCCCAGCGACGATATGCTGCCTCACAGAGCCTCTCCTTGGCGATACGCAGGAGGTGGCGCCTGAATGTGCGCGTGCACGACATCTGAGCCCGCAGGTACGGGAAGGTCCTGTCGATGCTGATTATAGTAGGGCAGGTCATCCGGGGGCGCCGAGCTGGCCGGAGTAGACCCCGTCGTCGACGTCGTCTCCCAACTCTCATTACTTCCGCTAGCATAGCTCGAGGAATCTCCCGATGGCGTCGCCGTAGCCGTAGCCGTAGCCGCCGCCGCAGCCGCCGCAGCCGCAGCAGCAGCTCTCGGGGCGACACGCCGGCGATTCCTCCAGCCCCTGACCCTGCGCCCAACGCCCTTGCACCCGTCCACGACGAGGATGCGCGCGGCCTCGCCGACGGTGACGGGGATGATGAACAGCAGGAAGACGATGGAGAAGCCGACGCCGGCGAACATGCGGCATACCCACTGAGGCACCCTGCGCCAGCTGGCGGTGCACCGCGCGCGCGCCGCCATGAAGCCTAGCGCTATGCACCCGCTTATGTACAGCATCCCGATGCAGTAGATGAAGGCTACGGTGGGCGAGGCGAATGCGGCGAATGGCGAGTAATCCATCGTCTCGGCTCGCCTCTCTCGGACCATCGTGGGCAGGTCTCGCTGTGCGAGGATCGTGGCGGTCTGGATGCGGATTTGCATTTTTCGTCTTTTTTTCTACTGCGAGGGGTTTTGGGTATAGTCAAGTGTCGTGTGATCTGCTGTGGTCTGGTATGATATGGTATGATGTGTAGTCGACTTAAGGACTCGAGATTCGTAATGGATGGATGGATACCTTATTCTTTTGGCGTAGTTTATTCCCTTCTCGAGCTCGGGTCTCTCTCAACACACCCTCCTCACTGGAACTGTCCTGTTTCCCCTCCATCACGTTTAGGTTTCCTGGTCTGCCAGACCAGCGATGCCACACGTGCGTTTAGACTGGTGCTATGATCAGACGGACCGTAGCCATAAGCATAAAATTCCGAGGGTCGGATCACTGTCGAGGACTGCCACCCTACTGCTTTGGAAACTGTTGCGACGCCCCCTCGACTTGCGCAAAACGGCAACTCTAAAGCTAGCCAGCAGTATATCACTCATCTGATTTCCAGGCTCGGGCTTCTTGGTAGAACATATTCGCAAATTATCTTGGTCAAGGGCTTTTCGATACTGGATTATTTTGACTATATTGTCTCCTGCTTGTTGTGTCTTGCGGATCAGATTTGTTTCTATACAGTTTTCGCCGTTTGATGCTTTCAAACATCAGATGGGGTCTCGGCAACAGGCTCAGATACTCATATGCATTGATCGTCGACGCTGACGACGACATGGATATGCTGTGAGCCTACGGATAGGACGTAAGTGGGAAGCACGTCCCCTGAACGGTTACCAGTGCGGAACTCAACCTCATGCTTCTTCAAAACACCGCAAACGCCGGAGCTTCAACGGCACCTTCGATTATCCTATGTATTCGAATCAATCCAGGCCTTAGCCATATTTCTCAAAAGTCATGAATCATACGCCGGTTAACCTAGCAGATCCTAAAGATCGTGAAGAGTGACTAGTTACATACTAGGTACCTAGTACCTACTGGACTTCTGGAATAACCCGTGCGGCTGAGAATAAAAGATGCCGAGGCAGTGGGCGGCACTATATACGTGAATAGCACAATTTTATGAAATAGGCATCCGAATTCCGAAATCCGACTGACTAGCTGGCTCTTGACCACATAGAATACGCCGTGCCGCTCGGTCCGAGGGACTACTGAATAAGTAGGCGCTGATTCGTCTCTCCTTCTGCTCGTCTCCTTTTCTCGCCCACTTTCCCTTAAACGAGATGAGATGCCAGATCGAGAGACCGAGTCGCGCATAAAGAAAAGGGCACGTGACCGTCGAGCCCAGCAGAATCTCCGAGACAAGCGCCTTGCTCATGTCGACGCTCTCGAGCAACGCATCGTCGCCCTCGAAGGTGAGCTGCAGATCTTACAACAGACCTGTTATGGCTTGCGGCGAGAGAACGAGGTACTGTTGGGCCGCCATGAATATGTACGACATATCGTGACCTCGTGGAATCCTCACAACTCACATGAGCTTGGACCATACGATACAGCCAGAGACCCACCCCTAGGAGCGGTTGGGTCCACCCCACAGACCATCGCAATCCGTCCTGGGCAATCTGGGATCGGCGCCGATAATGACAGAAAAACGGGCTCTACAACCCATCCTGATACTCATCAAGTGCCGTCAGTTGATGCCAGAACACCAACAACTCAGGTCTCCCAGCCGAGCCCTGGACCATTAGGAGGTCTTACCCTGCCGCAGTGGAACATGATTCCCGCACATGTCGAGGGTGACCGTGTCGTAACAGATTGCTTTAGCATCTGTCTCAAAAGGCCAGATCTCGTGCGCGCCTCGCCAGAAAACCCGCAACCCGTTGAATTCCTTTTCGGTTCCAAAACCAACTTCCTCGCCAACGTTATGCATGACCTGACGCGGCACTGGCCTTGTCGTGACCCGGAGCGCCTCGCCATGGGGTGGCTGTCGTATCACCTCGTTCGCTGGATAAGCGCACCGAGTGAGGAGCGCTTCTCGCGCCTGCAGGACTTCCAGAAGCCGGTGGACGAGCAACTTTGCCAATCGCACCCGTACTTTGCCGATTTCGCATTGTGGCCCACGTTCCGGGCCAACCTGATCAAACATCAGCACACCTACGAAATAGAAGACGTCATCGGATTGACTACCTGCTGTCTCAAGGTCCGGTGGCCCTGGAACAAACCCTTTCTTGAGCCGGGCGATGACGGGCAGCTGGCCATCCTACCGGATTTCTACAACACCTTTACGAGGCTCGAAGGTTGGGGTCTCACCAAGGAGTTTTCGAATAAATATCCAGAACTCATTGCTGGTCTGGACCCGGCATTAATACATTACGAAATTTGCTGAACTTTGAGTGTCCCGTCTGCAAGCTGAGTCCAGACACGATGGGCCGTATGGTGATGCTTCTTCGCGTATGCATGGATGTACTGAAACGGCTCCGTGAACTTGTCTCTAAATCTCTGCTTTGCTCTGAGTTTCGTCTACTATCCCTTCTTATGCCACTCCCCTTCTGTCGCCTTGCCTGCCGAGGGTCTGATAGATAATAGGCGCATACATCGTCGAAGTTAGACTCTGGTTTTGACAGGCTTGAGATAGACGGGCAATGCTGGCTTATCCCAAAG